AAATGAGGAAACTGATGAGAGTGAGAAGTTTAGTGAAGAGGACCCTACACATATATCTTTGGTTACTCGATGAGCTCTAAACACCCACATTAAGGAGGACGACCTAGACCAACGGGAGAACTTATTTCAAACTCGGTGTTTTGTTCAATCTGTACCTTGTAGTGTTGTCATTGATAGCGGTAGTTGCACCAATGTTGTGAGTTCCATTCTGGTCAAAAGACTTAATTTAAAGACACAACTACATCCACGACCCTACAAGCTTCAATGGTTGAATGACCATGGGGAAGTACGGGTAACTCAACAAGCTCTTGTTTCTTTTACTATTGGAAAATATGTTGATGATGTTTTATGTGATGTTGTATCCATGCATGTTGGAGATTTACTACTGGGGAGGCCTTGGCAATTTGATCGTCGCGTAATGTATGATGGGTATGCAAATCGATACTCTTTTACTCACAATGGTAGAAAAACTACTCTTATTCCATTGTCTCCAAAAGATGTTTTTATTGATCATTGCAAACTTGAAAAGAAAAGGCAAGAGGCTAATGCAAAAGCAGAGATTGAAAAAGAATCAAGTGAAAAAAAGAGCTTGAGTGAAAAGCAAGAGAGTAACACTCAGCCTAGAGAAAAAAAAAAGAGAGAAAAGCCAAATAAGTAAGCTTGTATGTTAGGTCAAGTGAGGCTAGGAATGTTTTGCTCTCTAACCAGACTATTCTTGTACTTATGTGCAAGGGGTCTTGTTACTTTACTAACATGCTTAACCCTTCGTTGCCTAGTGATTTTGTTGTATTTTTGCAAGAGTTTGAAGATTTATTTTCTGAGGAGATGCCTAGTAGTTTGCCACCACTTAGAGGGATTGAATACAAGATTGACTTCTTTCCTAGCGCGCCCATTCCAAACCGACCAGCTTATAGGACTAATCCAAAGGAGGCTGAAGAGATACAAAGGCAAGTAAGTGAACTCCTTGCTAAAGGGTATGTACGAGAAAGTTTGAGTCCTTGTTCTGTTCCAGTTATTCTTATACCTAAGAAAGATGGTTCTTGGCGTATGTGTGTTGATTGTAGGGCTATAAACAAGATAACTATAAAGTATAGGCATCCAATTCCCAGATTAGATGATATGCTTGATGAATTGCATGGATGTAGTCTTTTTACTAAGATTGATTTAAAATCGGGTTATCATCAAATTCGCATACATATTGGGGATGAGTGGAAAACAGCTTTTAAAACCAAGTATGATCTTTATGAATGGTTGGTTATGCCTTTTGGATTAACTAATGCACCTAGTACATTCATGAGACTAATGAACCATGTCTTATGAGAATACTTAGGTAAGTTTGTGGTTGTTTATTTTGATGACATCCTTGTTTACTCTAAATCTTTAGATGATCATATTACCCATGTACGCAATGTTTTGACTACTTTAAGAAACGAATGTTTGTATGTAAATTTAAAGAAATGTAGCTTTTGCATGGAAAAAGTTAACTTTCTTGGGTTTGTAGTTTCATCTAATGGTGTTGAGGTTGATGAGGAGAAAGTGAACGCTATAAAAGATTGGCCTACACCTAAAAATGTAAGTGAGGTAAGAAGTTTTCATGGTCTTGCAAGTTTCTACCGTAGGTTCATTAAGAATTTTAGTACAATTGCTTCACCCTTGAATGAACTTGTTAAGAAAAATGTATCCTTTATACGGGAAAAAGATCAAGAACTTGCTTTTAATACTTTGAAAGAAAAATTGAGTTATGCTCCCTTGCTTGCATTACCTAATTTTGATTCTACTTTTGAAATTGAACGTGATGCTAGTGGAGTAGGGAAAGGTGCTGTATTAATGCAAAATCAAAGACCTTTAATGTTGTTTAGTGAGAAGTTGACTGGTGCTTCTTTGAGGTATCCAACTTATGACAAAGAGCTTTATGCTTTGGTTCGTGCAATTGCAAACCTGGCAACATTATCTTTGGCCTAAGGAGTTCATTATTCATACGGATCATGAAACTTTAAAGCATTTGAGAGTACAAAATAAACTCAACAGACGACATGCTAAGTGGTTAGAATTTATTGAAACATTCCCTTATGTCATAAAATATAAACAAGGTAAGGAGAACATTGTTGCAGATGCTTTATCACGAAGGTATGTCCTCCTCAATACTTTGAATGCTAGGTTGTATGAACACATAAAGAATTTGTATCAACATGACATGTTCTTTGGTCCTTTTGTTGAATCTTGTGAAAAAGGACTCGTTGTGGATAATTACTTGTTGTTAGATGGATTTTTGTTCCGAAAAGGCAAACTTTGCATACCATCTCGTTCCATCCGTGAGCTACTTGTGAGGGAAGCTCATGGAGGTGGTTTAATGGCACACCATGGAGTTTCTAAAACTTATGATATGCTCTCTATACATTTTTTTTTGCCTAAAATGAGACATGATGTTCATAAAGTTTGTGCTCGTTGCATAGCATGTAAACAAGCTAAGTCAACCACATGGTTTATACTCCCCATTACCGATTCCTAATGGTCCTTGGATTGATATATCAATGGATTTTGTTTTAGGTTTACCTAGGACTAGGAAAGGTTATGATAGCATCTTTGTTGTGGTTGATCAATTTAGTAAAATGGCTCATTTTATTCCTTGTCACAAAACTGATAATGCAAAACATATTGCTGACTTGTTCTTTAGGAAAGTTGTATGATTGCATGGCATTCCTAAAAGCATCGTTAGTGATCGTGATGTAAAATTTTTAGGCCACTTTTGGCATGTTTTATGAGGTAAGTTAGGAACTAAGCTAGTATATTCAACTACTTGTCATTCTCAAACGGATGGACAAACTGAAGTTGTTAATAGAACCATGACTGCTATGCTTAGGGCTATTATTGATAAGAATCTTAAGACCTGGGAGGATTGTTTGCCATATATAGAATTTGCATATAATAGGGTTGTTCATAGCACTACTAAATGCACATCTTTTGAAATTGTTTATGGCTTTAATCCTTTAACCCCATGGACTTGTTACCTATACCATCAAAAGAGTTTGTGAATTTTGATGCAAGTGCCAAGGTTGAGTTTGTTCATAAACTGCACAAGCAAGTAAAAGAACAAATTGAGAAACAAAATTCCAAGGTTGCCCCCCAAATTAATAAAGGACGTAAAATTGTCATCTTCAAGCCAGGAGATTGGGTTTGGGTGCATTTCCGAAAAGAAAGATTTCCTACTCAAAGAAAATCTAAGCTTTTACCACGAGGAGATGGACCTTTTCAAGTTCTTGAGCGCATCAACGACAATGCTTATAAAATTGATTTACCAGGTAAGTACGGTATTAGTGCAACTTTTAATGTTGTTGATTTGAGTCCTTTTGATGTAGGTGATAGCTTGGATTCGAGGACGAATCCTTCTCAAGAGGGGGAGAATGATATGAACAACGAACAAGGAATTTCCATACCTCGAGGTCCAATTACAAGGACGAGAGATGAATTAAATTCTTGTGTTTAGAACTTGCATGTAGAGTCATTCAAGTGGTATTGATCAAGCCTCTTGTGGAGTGATTGTCATCAAGGTAATCCTTCCATACTTTCCCTTGGGTTGATTGTCGTATCACATAAGAGTGGATCAAGTTCAAGTATATAGTCAAAATGATCTATAGTATAGGATAAGGCTGAGTACCTTATTCTGGGACAACACTATGGATGCGGCCCACTTTTGATAGAAATTCAATTGCTGACCCTTTGCATGTACCCGAAGGACCGATTACTAAAAGCAAGGTTAAGAAGATTCAAGAGGCCTATACATTGCATCTTCAAAAGCTAGCTAGTGTACCGGTTGAAACAAAGACTTTGAGCCCAAAAATCTTTATAGCATTAGCATATCAAATCAAGAAGATAATGGAGTGGCTGATATTGGAAAGTAATTAGAAGACTTGCCTTTGGTAGTTGAATTACCAATTAAGGAAATTTATTAATACCTTATTTGCTTCAATTTGTATTTAATAGCATTTATTAGTAATTTGTGGTTGGTGGCTGAACTATATTATGTTAGGGTTACCTTTTAGACCTATTTAAAGGCATGCAATACTCTTGATACTCTTTTGGTGTTATTCTTTTTCAAACCTTGCTTTAGGTTTGATGTTTAAACCGATTCATTGAATTAGTTTTGATCAAGCTAATTCTGGATGAATTGTCTTGGTATCTAAGAGTGACCATCATAGATTCCAAGTTCGATCTAAGAGTCATTCATCTTCTAACCAGTTCTTGGTTGGAATCAATCCGTTAAGTTAGCTTTCTCTGTGAGCGTTTTGCAAGGATTCTAGAAGGACCTCTAGCTTTGCAAATTCCAGCATTGTAGGTGCTTATCATTTGGTATCAGAGCATTTGGTCGACGTTCTTTGGCCGCTCTAGAGGTGAAATATTTTTATTGTTATTTTTTTATATCAATTTTTTGCAAAACGCTCTTTGGCGTTCTTTGGCCGCTCTAGAGGCGCCTACAATGCTGGAATTTGCAAAGCTAGAGATCCTTCTAGAATCCTTGCAAAACGCTCATAGAGAAAGCTAACTTAACGGATTGATTCAAACCAAGAGCTGGTTAGAAGATGAATGACTCTTAGATCGAACTTGGAATCTATGATGGTCACTCTTAGATACCAAGACAATTCATCCAGAATTAGCTTGATCAAAACTAATTCAATGAATCGGTTTAAACATCAAACCTAAAGCAAGGTTTGAAAAAGAATAACACCAAAAGGGTATCAAGAAAACACAAAGGTTTTTTTTGTATTCAACAAAATCCCCCAAACATGAGTATTACATGCCTTTAAATAGGCCCAAAAGATAACCCTAACAAAATAAAGTTCAGCCACCAACCCCTAATAAATGCTATTGTAATACCCGAAGAAAGAGAAATAGAAATAGAAAAAGAAAAAAAAAAGAAGGAAAAGTCGAGAGGGGCAAATAGGTAAATTTGCCCCTCCAACCACCTAAGGGGTTCAAACGAAACCCCATTCATAGTCCTGCAAAAGAGAGATAGTGAGAGAAAGGGGTAGAGAGAACTTAGAGAGAGTAGAAAGGATGAACCGCCGGAAGACTCACCGAAAACTACCGTCGGGAGTCTATTCCGGTGAAGATCATGATGCAAGGAAGTGAAGATCATGCAGAGAGACTTTCTTAGAAGGGAAAAGAGAATGTGGGTGGCCGGAGTCCCATTTTTCATCAAGAAGTCGAAAAACCCGCAACGTAAGGATCTTGAACGTTTTCTCAGAACTACGATTTTCCTTTGTGAATCAAGATCTGAAATCTTGATATATTCATCTAGGAACAACTCTACGCGTGATCTGTGAAAAAGTTTGGCCGAGATCTCAACCCGAAGGCGGAGATCCGAGAGTCGTCCGAGAACGGTGAGCAAAATTCCGACCTTCTTAACTCATCCGGTAGTTAAGCAAAAATTACAAAAAAAATACGAGGTCGTAGCCCGTAACACGATCTAAAACTTTGCCAAAGAAATCATGTCGATCCGATCTACGGATCGAAAGATATGAAAATCGGAATAGAGAATTGTGTTTCGATTTTCAGAAGGCAGAGAAGAAACAAGAAGAAGAAAAAAAAAAAAAGGAGTCGGCCAGCGAGCGGCGACAGGCACCGAACACGCGTCGACCATCGGCTGAAGCAACACAGCTCCAGCGAGGCGTCGACACGTGTCGCCTGCAAGCCGAGCTGAACCACGACGTGAGCCGAGCTGACCCGCAACTACGCGGAGGCGGGCGCTTGTGCAGGCTGCAACTGGCGCCTTCCCACGCTCGTGACCACGCGCTCCCAGCGCGTGAGAGCGCGTGGAACGGCCAATTTGGCCCGGTTGTTTTCTGTTTGCCCGATTTTTGTCCCGGTTCCAGTTCTAATACTGTTCTTACGTGAATAGGGACCTAATTTAAAGAAATCAGTACTTTTGGACACCTCACAGGCAAAGAAACGCTAGCAAAAAGGGCACGCGTCAACCAGGTAAGTCACCACCCGGTATTTAGGAAGAAATACTTGTAGGGTTCGCTTGGATTGTATGTATGCATGTTAGTAATTTTGCCTTAAATTAGCTCTCCATGAATGAGATCAATCAGATGGATTGTTATGATGTGTTGGGTGAATTATCTAAGTGTTGCTTGTATGCCTTAAGCTTTCGTTGTACGTATGCATGCATTTAATTTATGTTGGAATTGTGTATTCCGTGTCCGGGTGCTCGATGGACGAATTCGCCCCATTGAGCGCGAACTTCGTGTTTTGGGTGCTGGATGGAGGCCATCGCTCCGTTGAGCCGGCGTGCCTAGTTTGCATGAATATTAGGATGTTAGAAGACGGTTGCATGCACACCCCGTTATTTTCTAGTGCCCATTTCTATGACAATCTTAGAGAATTATTGTTAGGAGCGATATATCGCTCCAGCCAGACTTAATTTTCCCCTAGGAACTTAGCGGTTCACCATGACAAGAAAGTACCTCGGAGTGTTCATAGATTGCTAGCATCAGAATGGTATCTATAGCTTCGTGGGAGGACCAAGGGTCCCTGATCAGTCCTTACTACTCTTAGCCATTTCGCATGGGAATTGTGTCCCCACGTCGTACAACCCATTAGCTGCACGGGAACGGGTTGGGTCGCGCCCCCCATAGGAGGACTATATGGGCGTAGGGGTATTCAGCACACCCCTAGGCTAGATACCATGTAGTCCTAGATAGCCATGTAAAGGTAGCGCCTCATAGAGAGATACCGACCATATCAGCTTGACATAAGGAACCTCTAGGTGACTAATGAAAGGACGATGAACCGGTGAAACCCAAGGGGCAAGCCCCAAGAGACTAAGGTTTGAACCCGATGTCCTAGAACCGAATTAGGAAACCGTGGGAGTTCTGTTAAATTAAGATGCGAAGAGAGCCTACAAGTAGGTGGCTTACTGAGTATAATTTTTATACTCATCTCGTTCTCCTTTATTTTTTTCAGGTGTTCGCTGGCTGCTGGTCGAGGTAGAGGAGCGTTTGAGAGCTGTACAGTCACAGAGGGGGTCGTTCTGGAGCATCAGTCCCTTTTTGGTCGTTTAGAGTCTTTTGTATTTCATTTTATATTTGCAATTTCTTTTGTAATAATTAACAAACAAAATTTCTCTCCTTTGTTTTAATTCAAAGTATTTTTATCTTTTTACTTTGCTTTTCTTTTCTTTTATTTTCCTTTTGTTTGTTTTCGATTTCGTCTTTTTAGTCACGATTCGGTTTTTTGAAGCCTCGAAAATCGGGTCGTGACAGCTATTAAATACAAATTGAAGAATATAAGACAATTCATATAAACTATAAATAAATGCTATTAAATATAAATTGAAGAAAATAAGGCATTCATAAATTGTCTTAATTGGTAGTTGACTTTCCAATGTTAGCCTGTAACGGCCCAGATCCACCGCCAGCAGATATTGTCATCTTTGGGCTTTCCTTCCTCTTTGGGCTTTCCTTTTCGGGCTTCCCCTCAAGGCTTTAAAACGCGTCTGCTAGGGGAAGGTTTCCACACCCTTATAAATGGTGATTTGTTCTCCTCCTCAACCAATGTGGGACATCACAATCCACCCCCCTTCAAGGCCCAGCGTCCTCGCTGGCACTCTTTTCTTCCTCCAATCGATTTGGGACCGCCCCCAAATCCACCACCCTTTGTGGCCCAGCGTCCTTACGGCCACACCGCCTCGTGTCTACCCCCCTTCGGGGAACAGCGAGAAGGCTGGCACATCGTCCGGTGTTTGGCTCTAATACCATTTGTAACGGTCCAGATCCACCACCAGCAGATATTGTCCTCTTTGGGCTTTCCTTTTCGGGCTTCCCCTCAAGGCTTTAAAACGCGCCTACTAGGGGAAGGTTTCCACACCCTTATAAATGGTGATTTGTTCTCCTCCCCAACCAATGTGGGACATCACATAGCCACTCCATTATTTTCTTGATTTGACACTTGAATCTTCTTTGTATTGCTTCTTGTAATTGCTCGTTCGGGTACATGGAAGTGATCAGTTTTTGGATTCATATCAGTTCCATTGGCAAAAAGAATAAAGCTTTAAAGACGGTAAAGAAGAAGTCTAGTTCTATTCAATGTTGGAAGTGCAAAGGGTTTGGACACATGAGCAAAGAGTGTCTTAATAAAAAAGTTATGGTGATAAGGAATGGTATACTTGATTCAGATGATGAATGTGAGGATCATGATTCACAGCTTGTGGAAGAAATCGCAGCATATGATGATGAGTATGTTGAAGAAGGTAATTCCATATCTTTGATCACAAGAAGGGTACTCAATGTTCAAATCAAGGAAGAGAAATTTGAAGATCAAAGGGAAAACTTGTTCCACACAAGGTGTTTGGTCAAAGGAAACCCATGCAGCTTGGTGATTGATAATGGAAGTTGCACAAAACCATAAGCAGTTTCCTTGTAAAAACACTTCAACTTTCTGTCCATCCCCATCCAAAACCATACCAACTTGATTGGTTAACAAACAAAGAAGAAATTAAGGTGAACTCCCAAGCTCTTATTTCTTTTACTCTTGGAAGATATAAAGATGAAGTTCTTTGTGATGTCGTACCAATGCATGCGGGGGACATCTTATTCGACCGACCTTGGCAATATGATAGAAAGGTAACATTTGATAGTTTGATGAACAAGTATACTTTTACTTTGTGTGGGAAGAAATTTACTTTACTTCCATTGTCTCCATATGAAGTACATTGTGACCAATTGAAATTAGAGAAGAAAAGAAAAGAATATGAAGAACAACAGTGGAGAGAAGAAACTAAGGTAAAAGAGAGAGATAAGAGTGAAAAAAAAGAGAAAAGTGAGGGGCAAAGGATAGTGAAAACCAAGAGAGAAAAAAAATGATTTTAAAGAAAAGAGAGAAAATGTGAGTTTAGTTATAAGAATGGGAGAAATGAGGAATATGTTAGCTCAAGAACCAAAATTTGTACTTATGTGCAAAGGAATGTGTTTAGCAATGGAACAAAAAACTGATGATGCTTTGCCAAGTGCTTTTAAGTCTCTTTTTGCAGGAATTGAATGACATATTTCCACATGAAGATGCATGTACGGGGTTACCCCCTCTAAGAGGGATTGAACACCAAATTGACTTTGTACCTGGGGCAACTCTTCCAAATATGGCTACCTATAGGACCAATCCCACCGAAACTAAGGAGATTCAGAGACAAGTGGAAGAACTCATGGATAAAGGATATGTTAGAGAAAGCATGAGTCCTTGTTCGATTCCTGTGATTTTGGTACCCAAGAAAGATGGCACGTGGAGGATGTGTGTTGATTGTCGAGCCATCAACAAGATAACGGTAAAGTATCGACACCCTATTCCTAGATTGGATGACATGTTGGATGAATTATATGGTGCTAATCTGTTTTCAAAAATAGATCTTAAAAGTGGTTATCATCAAATTCAAATGAATGTGGGAGATGAGTGGAAAACGGCTTTCAAAACAAAGTTTGGGCTTTATGAGTGGCTCGTTATGCCATTTTACCTTACAAATGCACCAAGTACTTTAATGAGGCTAATGAATCATGTTTTGAGAGATTATATTGGAAAATTTGTTGTTGTATACTTTGATGATATCCTTGTTTACTCAAAAAGCTGAATGATCATATTTTGCACGTTAAGAAAATTTTGTTTAAACTTAGAGAAGAGATGCTTTATGCCAACTTCAAAAAGTGCAGTTTTTGTCTAGACCAAGTCAACTTCCTAGGGTTCTTAGTTGGAAAGAAGGGAGTACAAGTTGATGAAGAAAAGATAAAAGCTATTAGAGAATGGTCAACCCCCACAAATGCAACCGAGGTAAGATCTTTTAATGGTTTGGCTAGTTTCTATAGGAGATTCATTAAGGATTTCAGTAGCATAGCATCACCATTGAATGAATTTGTTAAAAAGCATGTGAAATTTGAATGGAAGGAAAAACAAGAGAATGCCTTCAATGAACTGAAAGATAAATTAACCAATGCACCTTGTCTTGCTTTACCTAACTTTAATAAATCTTTTGAAATTGAATGTGATGCAAGTGGGATAGGCATAGGGGCTGTTTTAATACAGGAAAAAAGGCCAATCATGTTCTTTAGTGAAAAGCTTAATGGAGCACAACTCAACTATCCGACTTATGACAAAGAGTTATATGCACTTGTGAGGGCTTTGCAAGTTTGACAACATTATTTATGGCCAAAAGAGTTTGTTATTCATAAGGACCATGAAAGTTTGAAGCACCTCAAAAGCCAAACAAAGCTAAATAGGAGACATGCTAAATGGGTGGAATTCATTGAGACGTTTCCTTATGTAATCCATTACAAAAAGGGGAAGGATAATGTGGTCGCAGATGCATTATCAAGAAGGGAATGAAGACCTTGATTTGAGGACAAATCCTTTTAAAGAAAGGGAGGATGATATGAATTCAACTGCTGACCCTTTGCATGTACCCGAAGGACCGATTACAAGAAGCAAGATTAAGAAGATTCAAGAGGCCTATACATTGCATCTTCAAAAGCTAGCTAGTGTACCGGTTGAAACAAAGACTTTGAGCCTAAAAATCTTTATAGCCTTAGCATATCAAATCAAGAAGATAATGAAGTGACTAATATTGGAAAGTAATTAGAAGACTTGCCTTTGGGAGTTGAATTACCAATTAAGGAAATTTATGGAAAGTAATTAGAAGACTTGCTTTTGGTAGTTGAATTACCAATTAAGAAAATTTATTAATGCCTTAGTTGAATTACCGTCAACCGTACATGGGCGCCTTGTCTTTACCTGAAAAACAATATGGCACACGGCCTGAGTATTTCGAAGAAATACTCAGTAAGTGACCCCACTATAGGGGCCATGCTAATGCAAACACATGCAATCATGAATAGGGACCTATCTCTAATCATCTTAGGGGTGGCCTCCAGTCTCGGACAAATTGGATGTGTA